ATTATAAGTTATAATATATTAATATGAAATCATATGTTTTAATTAGTATTGATCAAGAATTAATTTGGAATTAATTTAGTGATCAAAAGAGACTAATGAAATCTATGGGGACTAATTATGATAATTAGTTATATTTATATGTGTTGGGCTTATGATCCATGTTGGACCAAGTTTATGTATGGATACATAAAGAGTTGGGCCACATGAACCATGGATCATAAAACCCATGGGGTATGGATTTGGGTTATACCCATGACCCTTGATTATCCAACATATAAATACATGCTCTTAACCTAAAAAACGCCTACAAGCTTGTTCTTGGAGTTCATGGGTGTTTTTGGGTGCATGGAATTCTCTCTCAAGTTCCACCTTTGTCCTAGGTGTGTTGTGATTCCATTTGAGGCTTCCACACTATTGGGGCTAAGCTCTTTAAGGTCAAATTCATCAAGTTCTACAAGCTAAACAACGAGATAAACTTCTAACTAGTATTTTATGTAGTTTATCTCATTTGTATGCTAGTTGTAGGCTTGAAGCTTTGGAAACAATATTGCATGTACAAATAGAGAAAACATAGATCCAAAGCTTTTAGGCTTGTATGTGCACCATAGGATGTTGTAGTATACATAACCCATCAGAAGTTTGATGGGATGAAGACTGCAAATTCCTTTGTGAGGAGAGACAAAGATGTGCTTGATCCTAGAACTAACGAGCCCATGAAGATTGTGATGTGGCCTCCAACTAAGAAAATGAAAGAGATTCCTATTGTCCAACATTTTCATGATGGATCTCTGGACAATATGGAATATTGGGTGTTCGACGAGGCCACAACCACTGCTGTAATCAAATTTCCAAATGGTGTCCATCGTCTTGTTGAGGCAAAGGATCTCCTAAAGTTTGGGAAACGGGACATTCACACTTTGTCTCGGCATCAAATATTCTGCAAGACTGACCTTATGGAGTCGGCTGGTAAAGAGTTTACAAGCATGGTTGCTACAATTATTGAAAAGAAGATGTGGCTTGGGGCAATGTGAAAGTCAGACGTGCTGCTGATCGAGAAAGACTGAATTCATGCTAGCCTCAAACCAAGGGGGAGATTGTTAAGTCATATTTTGTTGGTTTGGGCTAGGCATTCATTTGTATAGGTATTGATTGTGTTTGGTCTTGTATGTATTGGGTGTGTGCGGTTGAATTGTTTTCGGCTGAGGTGGTGTTTACAGCCGTAAACACGTTTACGGCCGTGAACCCGTTTGCGGTTGCCTTTTCCTATAAATAGGTGTCAGTGGTGTCAGTGTAATATACGGTTGTGTGTGTGTGTGTATCCAGTGTACCTGGCGTTTTCGGTTCAATAGAGACGTGTGCATTTTGGATCATTCTTGCTTCTACTCCTTCTTATTCTCATTGATTATCACTTGTTCTTGTGTTTGATCACTAGTTGGTTCCGGATTTGGGGACTTACACTTATGAACGACAAGCATGTGTGGAATGAAATTTCTCTCTCTCTCTCTCTCTCTCTCTCTCTCTCTCTCTCTCTCTCTCTCTCTCTCTCTCTCTCTCTCTCTCTCTCTCTGGTTCGACAATGGTCATAGCCTATCGCAAGATAGTGTGATCACTTAAATCTATGTGTTCTGTGTGCTTTGATTTCGTTTCTTATTTCTCGTATTTCTCATATCTGTTTTTCGTTTATTGTTGTTCTTTACCTAAAACTTTTCTCTTAAACAAATTATTCTCCTAAACAACCTGATCCACAAGTATCATGTGATAATTTGATTATTGTACTAAAGGTTCTTTTTCTGTTCAATAATGATATGGTTAACATTTAGATGTATATGTTTTGCCGTGCATGACTGTAGTTTGTGGAATGGGTTCCATTGACCTCGGCTTGAATCTACAAAATAAGGGGGCCGATAATAAATAGGCAACTCTTGGTGCAAAAGGATCTTGAAAGGAGGTGTAAGATATCTACGGGAAAAGTTATCTGGTATAATCATTACAACATCATGCTTTCGTTTTTAAGGTTTCTATATTCAGTTAGTCATGATTGTTATCATACAAAAAGAAACCGTATTAATGGGGTTATTAACTTCAGACTTGACCTTCAAGAAATCATCTATTACTGCTCTTGATTGGAGTTGGAACAATTGCAATTGGATATGATTTCACTCCTGGGGTGAGTTTGGATTTATGTTTTTTATTATGCTTTTTCGTACTTTACATAACCATTACTCAAGTTATTAGTTAAGTTGTAAGTGTCGTTGGTGGGTACGGTACATAATTTCAAATGAACACATACAAACACTTGTTATTTACCAATACTCAATATAAAGTTTGTATCCAAACTATCGACTCCATTTTTCATTATATTTTACTTTATAATTGTTTTGAAATTATAAATGACAACTTGATTAAATATTATTGAATTTACATGAGAAAAATCGCCTGTGCATATTCCGTTATTATTTACATGGAACAAAAACTTGTGTATCTTTGTAAGGCTTCTTCACAAGTGCTTCCATTTTGCCAAGTTTATACTTGGGAGTGAATTACATAAATGGTCCCTAAACATTTCTTACAACCCTCTTTTCATCTTAACTAATAGTTTAGCAGTGGTTGTACCTAAACAAAAAGCCACTTAACAATTTCTTCTATCGCTTTATATTTATTAGCCTTTGTCGGTTGAAGTAGTTATCTGTTATTTATACAATTATTATTATGTGTCTGATACTTAAATATCCAACACCAAAAACAACGGTTTTTCAAGCTTTGTAGAATTTCCCAAACAAATGCAATATCGATGCAATGTGGAAAATAAAGGTATCGTTTATTTCGAAAAAAATAATTTTGATGATTTTAAACCAATCAAATTTTTTCTAGTAGTAACATATGCGACTAGGTTTTGATATTAATTGTTAGTTATTTAATTGTAGGATCATAGTTGTATTTTTCATTTGTTCATCTTTGTGTCATGCAATATATTCATAAGTTAATTATTGTTTGTCTAGCCTTTAATTGTTTTTGTTGTAGACAATCATATTGTATATATTTTTGGTGATTAAATTGCCTTATTTTCTATATTTTAATTACTGATTTAAACTCAACATCATTATCATCAAATAATGCAATGTTTAGTTATATTTTTTCCCCAAACACTAATATTTTGAAACGTTCCTAAGAATTAAAAAAATATGAATGAATTATGTAAATATTTTAACTTTTAAGGGATACATTTATTTATAGAATGAAAGAGTTACTTAAGTTTGTTTAACATGAGGTGTGTGATCAAATTTGCATGTATCATGTGCTTTTTGATTCATGTTTTTTATCCCACGTCTCTTAGAAACAAAATTGAAGTGAAAACGAATAACTATAAGTAAAAAGATAACTATAAGCAAAAAGATTAACATATTTCTTTTCTCGTATTGCTCTCGAATAACTGAAAGCGGTTAAACCCTTTCTCTTATATCATTGTTCTCTTATGTTCTTGATTGCGAACACTTTAGGCATCGGTTGCAACATTCCAGAATCCAAAGATTTCGGTTATGGAACATATTTTGTAAAATTTGGATGGTAACCTGTTGGCGCCCACTCCAGTTATTAAAAAATAAAAATAATTTGATAAAAGATAAAACATTTATCTTCAACTACATTTATTTTGATAATATATGTTTACTTATTTTAAGAGTTAATAAATAGATATGGATATATAGTCTCGGTTTTAATATATAATTATAAATGTTCAATTTAATTTGTTAAACAATGTTTGTTGATTATTATCGTGTTGTCGACCAAGAGTTATTGTTAAAGTTTGACTTGCAATTTGGGGACCCAACTAGATAATCTGACCCGAAAGGAAATGAAGAAACCCGACATTGTATATCGATGTTGCTAGGGTTTTACGGTTATAAGTATTTGTGGTTAGGAATTCGTATGTAATCCCTTTCGAACAAGTATGATAAAGAAGAGTTTTCATGTTCCTACCCATGGGTGTAGGTCACATCAACCGAACCATGTTAAATCCTTATGACGTTTTATTGTTTTCGTTTTCATTCTTGTATAACAATTCTTCTATAGAATCATCATATGTTCTACCTTTTTGATATCCCATATCGATAGAATATAGTATGATGACAATAAGACGTTCGTTTTAATGGATATACTATTTACATAAACTTTCGACTTATTTTTTTGTGACTTTCATACGAATCTTAAAGAAAAATGATTGTCCCCCTCATGTCAAATATAGCTCGGAGTCCCCATTGATATAATAGTTCAAATCAATTTTTTTTTTGAGCATTTATAAAAATACAAAATAAGTTTACACATGCACATGATTATAACAGTTCATTGTCAAAAAAAAAGTTTATATATATATATATATATATATATATATATATATATATATATATATATATATATATATATATGGGACAAATGAAAAAAATGCAAATTAATGTGGTAAAAGATAAATCATTTATCTTGAATAATATTTATTTGAATGACCTCCTTTATATGTGTACAAGAGAAAGATGAAAGGCTAGATGATGAATAATTGTAAATGTTTACAAGTTACAAATGAAATGATAGACTGTTCTATCATATTTGCAAGTTGTAAAAAGGCTATGAATTATGATTTTGAAATGTGTAAAAGTTATCCATAAATCGATAGTATATTCTTATTTGATATTCGCAAGTTGTAAAAATTTGTTGCATTATTTTTTGAAATGTATAAGATTTAAGAAAAGAGATAGATTATACATTGAGATTTGCAAGTTGTAAAAAAATTGATGAAGTGTTTTTTGGATTGTGCGAATGAATTAAAAAAAAAATTTAATTCTTCATTTTTTTTTTTTTGACAAATTCTTCATTTTCAGAGTGTTATCTTTCAATGTTTCAGCCATAAGAAAGTCAAATATACAAGTTTATGTATTCATAGTTTGTTCCTCTAAATGCATTCACTTCAACTGTAATAAGAAAAAACAGCAAAAATAAGATCCCACATTTTACTAGTCATCCAATTTTGATTTCTTCTTAGGAACCGTAGTGTCATCCGATTTTCGCTTCTTGAAAAAAACCAAAGAGGCAACCTTATGTATCTGCACAAATATAAACAACAATCTCTTAAACACCACCAGCCTCTATGAATCAATACTGATATGAAGATGAAATGAGAAAAACAATAATACTTCAGTACTGAAACCACGCAAGATCTCCACATCAGGATTTGCTATGCTTTTAGAAACATTCTTTTCCCATTCAAATGGTACTTCAACAACATCCTTATCAATATGTGCCACCGCATGATAGATGCCTGCAATTTCAACATGATAACACTCTAAGCATGTTTTTTCTTTAGCCTTCTTGAAACAAAAGGGCTATATATGTACTTACATGGTTCATTAAGAGGAGGCAAGAATGTGAAGGTGGCTGAAATATGTCTCAGAACACCTCTAATCTCATTCATGATTTCTTTATCACTCTTCTCCCTTAAACTTATGAAGATCATAAACCATTAAAATGACATGAAAACAATGTATCAGTGGACTCATGTTTCAGGAATATCTTACCCTTTTTCAGCAGCTTCACCATCAGTCTCTATACTGAAGTTCCAACTCTGAAGTACTTCATTGGTGGCCTTAGTCATAATCAGAAGTTCAATTTTATGCAACCTCCCAGCTTCCAGCCATTCTTTATAAACCCCATTTTAAATGCAAATCACATAAGCAAAATACAATACAAAGTGTATTAAGATTAGGGAAAAGTGTTATTAACAATACTGAAAGTTTACCGGAAATCTGCTTATCAAACGTTGATAAGTATAACTGAACACCCACTTTCGTAGAAAGGAACAATTGGTGTTCATGTTTCCTCACTCTTTCAAAAGTTTCTTCAGGATAAACACCGTTAAGGTGCAGAATACTAAACATTACACCATCAAAATTAGTATTTTTTTTCCAATCGAACACACAGAAATGAGAAAACTACATCCATAGAAGGAGAAATCGCCAGCAATTCTTACCTGTTTGTTGCATAACCTGAAAAGAAGGTTTATAATTAGAGATTTATGGGTGTATAAATACAGATTTATTAGCATCAAGAAATTAAAGTAGTGGTTTAAGGAGACGTCAACAAGAAACAAGAGTTTTTACCGAAAAATTCGCATACAATGGCAGAGGATCCACGGAGAGTGATTATGTCTTTGTTTGCAGTTTTTGAACCCATTGTTCAAAAGATTTCTGAAGTTTCTGTGGGGAATTTTATCAAACAGGTTAAGTGCGCGGCATCAAGCTAAAGTTAAATGGTGAACAATGTTAGAAATTTGGTTTGGAGCAGGTTTCTACATAATCCTAGAGTACGCTACTAATGGAAGCTTAGCTCACGTAGTTTAGATTGCGTAGGTTACAAATAATGTTTAATTATAGGCAGACACAATGATTGGAGAATTCCTGCATGAACAAAATTATACGATACACCTAATGACTTGACAGAGGAGCTCCAATTTATTTCATATTCTACAATTCCATTAAACATAATTACTGAAATCGATACATGCATAACAAACAGCTAAACCTAAAATTTAAACCATTGTTAATACACGAAAACTATGAATAGAATTTCAATCACCTTTCTAAATAAGAAGCATATACGAAAACTTCGATGAATCTAGATCTGAGATGAGCTAAGGGGGTGTTTGGGGTTACTACTTTTAGCTTCTAATTTTTCTAAAAAGTCAAAAAAAACTAAACAAAAGATGTTTGGGTAATATAAAAGTCATTTTGAAAATGACTTTTGCATAGAGGAAAATAACGGCTTTCAAAAAGTCACAAAAACCTGACTTTTTGTGAGTTTACATGTAAAATTTAACACAAAAGTCATTTTGCTAATCTAAACACTTTTTAAAGAACTTCTTTCACAAAAAGTTCTTTTATTAAGTACCTTGAAGGAAGAAAGAAAGAAGAGGGGTGGGAGAAGGAGCAACGACAGTCGCTTTTTTGCTACCGAATTTTTTTTTTGTAAAGTCTTTAAAATCGAAGCATAAAAACTTAAAAAGGACAAATGAATTCCGTTTTGTATTAAAACTTCAATTTTTGAATTTGTTTGCATTTAGTCAATTTTTTTGTAATAAAAAAATTAATTGTATGACAGGTTATTAAATGTCATAAGTATAAATTTTGTGCACAAAAAATAAGCTCACTAGAAAATTATATACACAAAAAACAAAAAGACTAAATCTCAACATAAAAACAATTTTGTCGCTCCATATGGATAATCTAGGGTTTATAGATTATCCTATGTAGATAAATAAGGAGCTGGATAATTATCAATTTGAAATATTATTATTATATTCAGATTAGGGTTATCTAGACCATCCTTGTTGGACTATAAATAGACCCTTACCCCTTAGGATTTTCGACCATTAAAAACCCTAGAGTGATAGCCGAAATTCTTAGCTCTCCTTCTCCTCTCTCCTCGCTCATCCTCTTGCTAGTGTTGGGTGTGAACCACTAGAGGCACGACATTTGTGGTGCTTACTCTCTAAGCTTTAACAACACAAGGGTTTCATATTATTCATCAATAACAATCAAAGCTATGTATTCTAACCTTAGTTACTATTTTTCGAAAATAGAATAGGTTTCCCAAGGTTTTCCATCTGATGTTCAAAAGTTGTATGCTCAACTAGAAAAAAAACATAGATCAAGAATTAGGGTTGCATACATACATAGGTTTTTGTTTGTTATGCTCAATATCCATCAGTGATATCAGAGCCTTCGTTTGTTTTCTATTGAATGGATTACAATTGTTGAATTTAAATTAAATGTTTTAATTTTCGAAATTTAGTAACTAAACCTAGTATTTTGAAATGTTTAAAATACACCTTATACTATATGTAAAATTAAATATTGCTATATGTATAAGACTAAGTCAGTCAAACCACTAGTAGACCTCATTCACGAAGCCGATCTATAAAGGGGGTATAAGGAAACTGCCTATAAAATGGTAGTTGAATGGGTGTTCGCTCTCACCAACCGCTTCATTGATTGGTGGAGGGTCGTTAGCCGAACGGGTTTGATAGGACAAAAAAAATTCTCATTAATAAGTAGAATGAATTATAAAGTAACTAAATTCCTTTTATAAAAAATTCTCAATCTTAGTTACTTTAGGAAAAATGTGAATTTGTATGCTTACCCATGGAATTGCACATTGCACTTTATAAATCGTTAGTGGAGTGTGTGTGGTTAACCGTCACACTAATAGGGACTAATAAAGAGTGTCAATGAGTGTCTCATAAATTATCATTGATTAATGGAGCGCATGTGGTTAACCGGCACATTAAATTGAGATGATAAATGACATCGAGAGTACCAAGCTAATTTGCATGGTTATTCACATCTTGTTTGTGATTCTCGGTATCCCAGTTACAAATAGAAGAGCATAATCGAGATTAAACATGTCATTGAAGAGTTCAATGAATCTCAAATGATCTAGGAATTTCACTCAAAACCTAATTCGTTAAAATTTCGTTTTTCAATGGTGGAATTGGTAAATTGTCATTTACATACCTTTAAATAATTTTGCAATTAGATTACGACATCCCTTTTCTATGTTGTGAATTATTTAGTTGGATCCTAGCCTTGATATTTCATTTTGGGTGTTATATTGAGGATTATTCTTATCTAACCAAAAACTATCTTTCTTTTATAGATGTGTACTCCAAATGATGCTTTCCGTTCCTCCAATAACAACTTCTCATTGTTGAACATCTGCTAGAGGGTAACTTTTAATGGCACCAATTATAACGATTGGATGTGCAACATTAAAATGGCTCTCCATTTCGAGGACAAGGAGTATGTGCTCGGCAAAGAACTTCTCGAGATTGATGAAACCGAAGCTACTGATGAAGAACTAGATTAGTATAGGAAACACTGTAATGATGCAACAAAATTTTCTTGCATCATGGTGGCGACTATGACTTCTTTTTTGGATACGGTGTCTAAGTCCATAATTATAATTGGTATGTACTTGACCCGAATACAGCATGGTCCATTTGGGTTGCATTTCACCGGAACAATTTGTAAGGATGGACTTTTGAGAAAAGGTTATTTATGATTTATTAATATGTTATGAGTTCTAATATATTAATGTGAAATCATATTATTTAATTAGTATTGATCAATAATTAATTTGGAATTAATTTTGTGCTCAAAAGAGACTAATTAAATATAAGGGGTTGATTTGGTAAATCAATGATTCTTAAAGTGTGGGCCTATGATTAGTTAGGTTGGGCTAAACCAAGATGGTAGTCCATGGATAGTCCATGGAGGTTTAACCCATGGATCCTAAATAATATGAAAGGTCATGGGCATTAGGGTTTGCATGGATGTAACCCTAATCATGACACACTATATAAGAAGCCCTTTAGCTCATGAAACCGGCCACTAGTGATCTTTGGAAGAGCATAGCCGAAAATTTGAGTGCAAGTAATATTCTCTCAAGTCCTCCATTGTTGGTGGTGATTTGTGGTTCCATTTGAGGCATTCACATTATTGGTGATTGGCTCTTAAAGCTCTAAGTTAACAATCTACAAAAGGTATGTTATCTAACTAGTTTTTGTTAGACAAATACCCATGTTTTGTATGCTAGTTTAAGATGAATGCTTTGGAAAATATTGCATGTATAATTAGAGAAAACTTAGATCCAAAGCATATAGGGTTGCATGTGCACCATAAGGTTGTTATAGTGCACAAAACCCATCAGTGGTATCAGAGCCAGGTTAGTTTTCTATTATATTGTTGCAAAAGTATAATTTTTCAAAGATGGAAAACTGCACTATCAGGTTCAACTCGACGAGTCCAAGCTTGAACTCGACGAGTTATAAAATATTGTGTTGGTTCCTAGCCTTAATATTTCATTTTGGGAGTTACATTAAATATTATTATCTAATATAAACTTTGTCTTTCTTTTTCAGATGTGTTCCAACACTGCTTCTGGCTCAAACCCTACTGGCTCCTTCTCTCTCATTAGCCTTTGTGGGAGAGTCATCTTTGATGGCACTAACTTCAATGACTGGATTAGGAACATCAGGATGGTCACTCGCTATGAGGACAATGAATATGTCCTAGACAAGGAGCTTAAGGAAATCGATGAGTCGTCTACTACTCCGTAGGAGACTGCTGAGTTTATGACCCATGAGAAGGATGCTACTAACGTTTCTTTTAACATGTTGGCCACTATGTCAGCAGAACTCCAAAAGTCCTATGAGGACTTCTACCATTTTGAGATGCACCAGGACCTGATGGAAATATACCATCAGAGTGCTCGTCAAGAGAGGTATGAAATAATAGCCTCCATGATAACAACTAAAATGAAGGATGGAGAGTCCATCACGGCCCATTTGCAGAAAATGCAAAGGTTTGTGGACCGTTTGCTAAAGTTGAATGTCAAATTTGATGAAGAGTTGGCTATAGATATCATTCTACACTCTTTACCTCCATGTTATGATCAGTTCCGCATGACCTATCATATGAACAAGGAGGAGGTCACTCTTAGCAAACTTCAAGGACTTTTGAGGACTGCTGAAGGTTGTCTCAAAGGTAAATCAGTTGTTACTACTCCTACTGCTGCCCCTGTTTTGGCAATTGGGCATGGTAAGGGGAAGAAGAGGAAGACCCCTACCAAGGGTCACAAGGGAAAGTCTCTTGATGGATCCTATTCAAGTGGAACCAAAGGTGGTTCTGCCACTCCCTCGACTAACCCAAAGGAACCAGAGTGCATATATTGCCATGAAAAGGGGCACTAGAAGCGAAGCTGCCCCAAGTACTTGCAGGATGTTAAGGATGGGAAGGTTAAACCCACCCATGCGGGTATTTATGTTATTCTATTTAAAAAGTCATCACATTCTAACTCTTGGGTCCTTGATACAGGTTTAACATCCGGATTTCCAGGTATTCTATGATTTTCATTTATTTTGAGTTTGAGAGAATGACTCGACGAGTCGACGCCTAGACTCGTCGAGTAGGATCGCGATTTGCTGACTGGATTAATGAATGGACTCGACTAGTCGGCAGGGTGACTCGACAAGTCCATGCTGGCGGCAGAAACCCTAAATCTTTGGGCTTGTGCCCTATTTAAGGGTCCTTATAGCCCTCATTTGCGGCTACCAGTCCAGAGAGAGAAACCCTAGAGAGCTTGGGCGAGTTGTGTGTGAGAGCAAGCCATTTTAA